TTATCACCCAAAAAAATTAAGAGAACAAGTTTCAAGCAAAGTTCACCATTGGTCTTGCATTCTGACGTTGCACCCATTATCGGTTACCATGACGAATTCGCTTGATTCCATTTTGTGAAATAAAAATGGGACAGTGGAGAATATCGCAGTTATTGGGTGGGGGCGGGGGATTGGAAAACACGTTGAAATTGTTTTCAACTTTGATATTTCGAGGGGAGGGGGGCAGATCCCAAGATACCCCCTGGATCCTTTCAGCCATTTTGGCGTAACTGACTAATAAACATCCACACTTTCTCGTTTATAATATTAGTACCTAGAGAATTAGGGATGTTATGCCGTGCGTGTGATATTTACTACGTTCATAAGGATTCTGCCGCTCAAGCAAAGCGATACCAAAGTACTGGACCAACGCCTACACGTACTCGTCACCTTGCTGGAGTGTCCAAAATAATTTGGATATTCTAATTACCAGTTCCATTTAACCTACTCAACAATTTCGTTTGGTTTTTTTTGCAGTACTGTTTAATAACGCCGCGCCGCTTCAGAATCCAGTTTTAGTCCCAAAGTCACTTCGAAAATAATAAAAATTCACTGGTTTCCAAAGCACAAGTGCCCTGGTCTACTGCTACCAATGTCTGTATACTAACATCCTTCTCCTATTTCTCTGTCTGTCCACCGTAGATCCTAGAATCCATGGGTGTAGGCGGCCTTTTTGCCGGCGATGCTGACTTTAGCTGGTTGACCCCAAAGAGAATATCAGTGGACGCCACTGTGCACAAGGCGCGCATTGACATCAACGAAAAGGGGGCCCAAGCTGCGGCAGCCACCGCCATTCTGACCTTCAGGATGTCCACGGACGAGGAGGACCAACCTCCAATTCAATTTACTTGCAATCACCCGTTTGCGTATATCATTTACAATAAAATGTCTCATACGGTTTTGTTCGTCGGGGTGCTCAAAAATCCCGCATCGGTAAAATAGGTTAAATAAAGTGCTGTTGAATTTAGGTTGTGCTTCATTGCCATTGTGACTCTGCAGATATCGTCTGCAACACCGTTTTGTTTTTGGGTCAATATTCCCACACTGGGACATTTAAGTCCTCTAAATGTGCCACATAAAAAATATCTAGTATTTAGAAGACCGTGCATTTACTCAATGCAGCATGGCTTGTTTGTTTGGAAATTATACAATAACCGAGATTTTAGTTTGTATACTTTGAATTATTTAACATTTTTCAAAAATCTCAATACACGGGACTGACACGGTTACACGGAACTGACAAAGAAACAGCAGGATAGCAAACATGCTTTGCATTTTTTATTAAAAAATAGTCAGGTACAAAATAAACTCAAACAATGTATTCTGAAACAAAAACATAACGTTATATTGAGCGGCTACTTGGAAACTCTGCTGCTAATTGACCATTTTTTTTCCACTCGGACAAAGGAATATCATCATCTGAAGAACTTTCACTGTAAACATTGTAGTAATGTAGCTTCGCTTTATTCCCTTTGTCAAAAATGTATAATTCTTCATCAGACGCAGAACTTTTCGTTACCGAATTATAAGATAAAGTTCCAATAGTGTAATGTAGACATCTTTCGCCGCAGTCGAAACAGGAGAGCTCTCTTAGTGCACGTTTACATCAAACGCGCTTCGCTTGGAGCTGTGCGCTTTGCTTTACAGCCCAGTAGGAAGCGAGAGGAACGACAACACAGCTTTAAATGAATGTGTTCAGACCGCGCGCATGGCGCTACGCGCTGTGCCTTACGTTATACTATGCGGAGCGGTGGAAAACGCGATGTGTTGGTTTTGCGTTGCGTTTTGCCTCGCTTGTTCAGACAACTCCGAGGGTTATCTGCATAAACACAATGGAAGAAGAAATTATCACCGCCGTTTTTAAACGAGAGGCAATATGGAATCCGAAGCATGCGTTGCATAAAAATGTATACGCGTTACAAAAAATGTGGAAAGAAATAGGAGACGAAGTTGGAAAAGATGGTGAGTTCATATTATGTTTTAACTAGGGATGGATATAATATATCAACTTTTAGAATGTGTCGATGTCTTCTTTTTGTTGTCCGTATTTTTGCATCGGTTTTGGTTTCCATGTATAGGGGCGTATTCGTGTTTTTATTCTATGTATAAGTGGTTTGCGATACGTCATCTGTATAAACCATCGTGTGTATGAGGTAGTAGCAGTTTTAATTTTTAAGGCAGAGTAGTTAAAGAACAAAATAATTAGGGAATAGAAACTCAAAGATAATACTATATAATACATTTATTGTACGAAAGAAAATTGATTCTGCCACTCAACTGCACCAGTAGTCACAAAATAATTTGTTAATATTTCTCTGGTTCTCTTTGCATCTTCGGAAAAGCGATACTGGGAGTGTGTGTAGGTACTCGGATTAATATCGCCGCTAAAGCCCGTCTGACATTCCTTATTTGTCTTAAATCCCTCCTGTTCTATAACAAAATTGTGCAAAATACAAATGGCCTTTACAATATTTATAGCTGTCTCAATTTTTGTTTCGATAGGTTTTAGTAAAATTCGCCATTTGCCACTCATTATGCCAAATGCGCATTCAGCACATCGCCGGGCTCTGGAGAGACGATAATTAAAAATTCTTTTTGAATTATCTAAATTTCTTCTAGGATATGGCCTCATTAGGTATGGAAGCAGAGGGTAAGCTTCATCGCCTACTATAACCAATGGGGCTTTTATATTTGTTTGTGGTAAGCATTGATCAGGTGGGACGTCAAGCTCTTTTCTGTCTAATGCTCGAAAAAGCGACGAGGACCTAAAATTTCCTCCATCGCTTTGGCGTCCAAAACTCCCAATATCAACCGCAATTAATTTACAGTCAGCATCAACTAGGGCTTGAAGTAATATTGAAAAATATTGCTTATAATTATAGTATAGAGATCCGGTATTGGAGGGACATTTAACTTCAATATGTTTGCCGTCAATACTGCCTATGCAATTTGGAAAATTCCATTTGGTCCAATATTGTTGTGATTTATTGTGCCACGTTGCTTGTGTAGGTTTTGGTAGGTAATCACTTTTCATGGTATCCCATATTACCATGCATGTATGATTTACAATATTTGAAACTGTTGCCACCCCCAATCTGAAGTGTAGAGCTAGGGATCGATAGGATTCTCCAGTAGCAAGAAATCTGCAACAAACATACATAAAATATGCTTGGTGTTAATAGCAATTTTTGTTTCAGTTCAAACTGTTAAAAATAAATGGAAATACTTGAGGGACTACTTTAACAGAGAAACAAAAAAGTTAGAAAAACCCAGATCAGGCAGTGGAGCAAATGAAGCTGTAGCAAGTCCTTGGCAATATTATTCTCTTTTGTTATTTTTAAAAGACCATCTGCAAACCCCACTGAGGGATGCAAATATAGAAGCGGAAAGGGTCACAGAAGATATTGACTTAGAATATAATGATATACAGGACGTAGAGTCGCAAGATTCTGACAATGTTTTGTCACCGCCATCGACCAGCAGTCAAGCACCTTCAAGGTCTGCAAGCCGATTATCTTCTACTTCTGAAACTCGGAAGGGGGCGCAGAAGCGAAAGAAGCAACTGGCAACAGAAAACGACAATAGCGAACTAATAATGTTAGAAAAACGGAAACTTGAGCTCCTAGAGTCTGAATCACTTAAAGAAAATGATGATGATCTTTTGTTCCTAAAGAGTCTTTTGCCATACATGAAGAGTCTTCCTGCTTCAAGAAGATTACGTCTAAGATTAAAGTTTCAGGAACTGCTTCTTCAGCAAGTTGAGGAGCATGAAAGTGAAGTTTCACAAAATGTTTGTGGACAACCTCCGGCACGTGTCTTTACCTTCCCCGCTCCCTCAAGTTCCGCTTCGGACAATCATACATACCATCATCACATACCGATACAGTCAACACATCCGGATCCGACCACACACAATGTATCTGAAGGTAGTGAATTGGACACCCCTATGCGAAGTTTTTTTTCAGGATATAACGCGTAACATTTTTATTCGGACAAATGTATTTTTTAATAAAATAAAACTCAGTTTTTCATAAACACTATAATTTTATTTTGGCTTACCTCAATGTTATAACCAAACGTTGTTCTGCTGAAATCCTTTCACGGAAATTGGTTCCAATCCCACATAAATAAGGATCCAAATGGCTTAGGAGAAGGTCGAAAGATTCCTTTGACATCCTCAAGTATTCATAAAATTTTTCTGGATATTTTCTGGCATCTCGATAGAGGTGATAGAATTCTCCGAACGATTTCCTACATATATTAATCTCATGCACCCACGATCGTTTTAGTTTTTTTCTATTCACTTTCAACGCAATACTTTCGAGTAGTAATATCTTCTTAACTCGTGAAGGAGCCATGGTGAAATGCTTGGAAAATGCGTCTTTAAATATAAAGTGTGTTTTAATAACAGTCGAGGTATGAAAAGCGAAGCGCCTCCGATATGAATGAACCCGAACGCATAGAGGTTCGCTTGACATGAAGTGAGGCGCACAGCTCCAAGCGAAGCGCGCTCGATGTAAACGTGCCCTTAGTGTGAGGCCTGACTGCCCGCTCTAGACGAGCGTGCAGCGGCGCGGGGCGTGGAGCGTGCATGTCTATCTCTGCTTATTCTATCTAGATGTCCTTAGTGGCAGCCGCCAGAGCGTTGTAGAGAGCGCGCATGTTTGCGTTTGGTGGAGCGTCGAGCGGTGTACAGCGTTCATTTCAATTCTGTTTGTGTTTTTAGAGCGTTTCAGTAGCACGTGCATTATGCCGTTCGAAGAAATAATTTGTGCAATCCAAGAAAAACCAGAAATATGGATGTCAAAGCATGCTCTCTATAAAAATAGACTAGTGAAAGCAAAAATCTGGACTGAATTAGCAGAAAAACTAGGCATAGAAGGTAATATTTTATTACATTTTCATTACATTACATACTGAAAATAACTGAACATATTTTGTAAACATTATATTTTCCTATCTCAAAAGTAGTTAGCGAATTGGTTCCGTATATTTCTCGCGGCCTGAGAAGAACTGTTGTTTCTTCTATTGAGATCAGCATAATGTGCCCCAGGAGTCAGATTTGTGTCATAGTTTTGAGAATTACAATCATTTCCTTCGAGATCACGTATGACATTGTGTAGAAGGCAAGCGGTTTTTATTATTAAACATGCGTGTTCTACATTTGTTTCGATCGGCTTACTGAAAATACGCCATTTTGCGTATAAAATACCAAAAGCACATTCAATACATTTTCGTGCACGTGAGAGACGTTTATTGAAATACTCATTTTTATCATTCAGGTTTCTTGATGGAAACGGCCGCATTAAATGTATTTTCAAAGGGTAGGCTTCATCTCCCAGAAAAACATAAGGAGATTCTAATGTGGTCCCTGGTAAATTATCGGGTGGAGGAATATGTAGTCCTCCATTTTCCATCAAACTGTTCAACGTTGAATAATGAAAAGTCCCTCCATCACTTTGTTTGCCTTTTCCTCCTACTTCTATGGAGATAAATCGTTTATTTGCATCCGCCACACCTTGTAGTATTATGGAAAAATATTGCTTGTAATTGTAAAACGAAGAGCCAGACTTAGCGGGACACATCATTCTGCAGTGTTTGCCGTCAATAGATCCTAAACACATAGGGAACTGCCATAGTCTGTAATAGTCATTTGCTATATTTTTGAAGTCCTCTTGCGTTGGCCGTGCCATATGTACTTCAACCAATTGCTGCCATATAGCTGAACAAGTTGCATAAACAATGTCGGCTACTGTTGTTTTCCCCATTCGAAAACTAAAAGCCAGTGCTCGAAAAGATGTTCCAGTAGCAAGATATCTGTAAAAAAATGATACTGAAAAAAATTGGTAAACCTAAATATCGCTTAGATTGACAAAACTGAAACCCTACTCATTTATGTTATCGATTTGTACATGGAAATATTTTTTTCTTGCAGAAGTTACATTGAAAAAGCGTTGGAAACATTTAAAAGACCAATACCGGAAGGAACTCAAGAAACAACCACATTTCAGATCTGGAGCAGAGGCGGACGTTTGGGTGTCTTCATGGCAATATTTTAATTTAATGATGTTCATTAAAGATGAAGTAATGCCTGCACCATCAACTGGAAATTTATCTGTTAATGAAAAAGATGATAGCCAAGAAGCAGAAAATATAGAAAATGATGAGGACAGTTCAGAGATGCCAAATGATTCGGATAATTTGGATTCTGAAATGATGCAGCCGATGATGTCTCCACCTTCTCAACCTGCAGCCACATCGTCTGCAAGTTCGTCTCAACAGTCGTCATCGTCGTCAAGAAAACGTTTGAATCTGAAGGAGAGTATGCTAGACATCGAAAAAAAGAAACTTCTATTGATGGAAAAACGGTTAATGGAGACCGATAATGATCAGAAGTTAAATAATGATGAAGACTTCTTATTCTTGAGAAGCATTCTTCCCGCAATGAAGAAACTAACGGAACTGCAAAAATTTCAGTTCCGTGGCAAAGTTAATGAATGGCTGTATGAAGCTACGAAAGAAAACCAAGCAGTTACTTCTCAACAAAATGTTAATTATCAGTGTTACTACACTACACCACCAGATGAAGAAACTCAGAGTTTAACTTTTTTGTAGTTCGAATTAAATAAAATAAATACGGTTACCTATATTGAAGTAGTTTCATTTCTACTCACCTTAAGGTCACGATTAATTTTTCTGCAGACGTTATTGAATCTGATATATGAAAGTTAGTGGCTGTTAACTTTAAACGAGCATCTATTTTTTCCAATATGTAGTCGAAAGTTGGCACTGACATTCTTGTATACTCGTAGAATTTGTTTTCGTCTGATCGTAGGGTTTCGTACAATGTAGAAAATTCACCTAATCTTTTTCTTTGTCTAACAATATGACTTGGACCCTCCTTGCATAACAAGTCAAATTTTAAAACTGAATTTTCTTCTAAACACATATCAAAAATGTCATATGAAGCCATGATGATCAAAATACGTATATCACAACTGAACGCTCGCTGTTCACTGAGGCCAGTCAAAGAACGCTCCTAAATTTGCTGCACGCCACGCTGCACGCTCCGCAGAACGCAGTTCTCACTCAGGCCTCACACTTAGAGATAGTGTGTTGTGGTCGCTTAGAGATCTTACTTGACGAACCTTCAAAGTTCCTTTCAATGGCAGAACCTCAGCTTTATTTATAGCATCTGAAAAATTTTCAATTTCACAAGCATGAATCTCCAAAAAGGATTTGCCTGAGCAGTTGGCTTTCAGGATTTCAACCAATTGGCTGAAAGAACTCACATCAGATCCCTGAGCAACAATACGGTCTGCAGTCCTTTTACAAACTCCACCAATGCCGTCCGGGGCACCTTTACCATGTCCGGCCTCATGGTAGTTCCAGGTAACCGATTGTAGTTCCGGAAAGTAGCTATAGATGCCATTTGTAATGAATGCAAACATTTTCTTGTTGCGGTATTGTGTACTGGGGCTGTCGCTAAGAAAATGCAACAATTTTACCCCATTATCAATATAGAGTTTGATCAGTGGAAACAGATGAGCCCATATGGCACCGGGACCATGCTCCAACGACTCTGATAATGTACAAAAACTGTCAACCTTCAAGTCGTTTTCGTGTGCTCGGCTATAAATTACCACAGTATGCAACGTAATCTGTTGCCTTGATCCTCCAAAATGATAAGACTGGACTTCTTCTGCGTACTTTAGATTATAATTCTCAGAAAAGTCACAGTGAATGAGTATTTCCTCATTTGTCATGTTCTGTTTCAGTGTCTTGATTGCTTTGTATTGGTGAAAAATGCGTCCCTCGTGTGCCAAAAAAAGAGGCAACCTATCTTCAAATTTGGTCAAAAGATCCGATATTTCTATCTGTTGACTAATTTTAGCAATTTTCAAACTGGTAACGTTGTTTTGTGATCGTTTGCTGAAATAAGTTTGTTTTATGTTTTTCCACTGACTATATGATACAACGTTACCAGGATCGTACTGCTCAATATATTTAGGTTTATATAATGCACACACTGAACATTTCCTTAGTAGACATAGGTCATTGCGGGTCTCACATGTCATTGACTCAATTATTGCTTCTGTAGTTTTGCAATGCAACACTTTACTTTGCCAAAGAGATAATACAATCAACTCCATGTTACTATGTGTCATACATTTACGTGTGTCTCGATTTGCTACCTTCATAAACTTTATCCAGAAAGGTTTACATTTACAGAAAAATGTATAACTCACCTTGACATCGGCGTATTTTTTACAAAACTCTTTGAACAAATTCTTCAAAGTGTTTGTTAAATATGTTTTTTGATAGGTGAATTTATTCTTTGTAACATAGTCTTTCTTACCGGGGCAAATCCGGCTATTAACATCTTCCTGTAAGAACGCCACAATTTTATTCCTATTTTCAGATGCTCTTCGGTTTTTCTGATACTTAACATCTACACTCCTATGGCTGTATTCCACTACTCTTGTTTTTGTATATCGAAAAACTTTGGAACACGTTCGCTGAAGCTTGTACTTCTTAATAATTTTTCCATCCATTATTTTCCTAAATACCCTATTTTCTTTTGGGCTTAACGATTTATAACTCTCTGACAGCTGGTCCTTGATGGTCTCCCCAAAAATAAGTTGTTTTTTAATTTCATCTACTCTTTTTTGCTGTATTGAAGACCTTTCTATGATCTGTTGTACTCTAGTTCCAGGTGAAACTGATGGGGAACTAGTTTGTTGAGCAACATTTTTATTTTGATGCATTGACTTCTTTAGGCGAGAATACTTTTTCTTCCACTTTCCAACTTTTTTTTTTAAGGTCTGCTATTTTAGCTTCATTTTTTATTTTTTCTCGATGTCGCTTAAGTTTCATTCTATTACTTTTCTTTATTGCATGTTCCTTTCTTCCATCTAACTGTTTCGTTAAATGATCTGGCACATGTGCGTTTTCGGATGATCTTAGTCTTAATCGATCTCGGTGAGACTTTGTATATTGTCTCCATTTCTTGCATTGCGATCTAATTTCTCTTTCTGTCATTTCCGAAACAAGCTTCCTTTGTTTATTCTTTCGTTAACGCAAGTATTTCTGATGCTCTTTTTCCCGCTGCTCCTCACGTTTTTCCGGATCTTCTCTTATTTTACGCCTCCGTTCTCGTTCCCGGTCACGTTTAATACGCTTTCTTTCTTCATCAGATATTTTCCTATGTCCAGACATCTTACACCCTACTATAGACTAGTAGATAGACCTGTGAACTGTAAAAAATACTTGCATCAATGCATGTTTGCTATAGTTTTATAGATAAAAAATGGAATCAAGTCAGTTCCGTGTCACACAGTCAGTTCCGTGTTTTCGCAATGACACGGGACTTACAACCACGGGACTGACATTATTGCACTTACAGCAACAAAAAAAGTAATCGGTTCAAAATTTCTAATTAATTTTAGTATGACAATTATGGTTTTTGATACCCGAAGTACTCATGGGGTATTTGAAGCAAAAAGAAAAAATAGTAGCTTTAAAACACTTACCACGGTACTGACAAGAGACAGGTTTCCAAGACACTTTTTTACTTGTCGGACCCAGTTCCTGCTCAACCTATCAGTAATCTGTGCACATCTTCCGACGATTGAGCCAATACTAACAATTTTCAGTTGGGATAATACGGATGTCACTTACCATACCTTCCCCCACTACTTTATGGCGTGATATATGGCGCGGCACGGGACTGGCCAGATAGCTGGAGACAAATGCTTTCCGAAAAATTACTAAATTAATTATTCTTTTTGTTTCACCAATTATCTATATTGTGGTTAGCTATGTGCATACTTGCGATATAGGTATATCAAGTTTTCAAAACAGTAGGTACTTCAGGTGAAAAAAATGGCAGGTATTATCAAGAGACATCCGCTAGGACATGGCACGGGACTGACATTTCAGTGGCATTCTCCCAGTTATTTTGTTCTAAATGGAAGATAAATATTTCATATAGTGTGCAAACCGTAAAAAATATGTAGCCAAACGCATCGTATCAGATAATTACATTGAAAAAATTATAACAAATCAGTTATTAAGAGGAACTTACGATGACTCATGTTAGGGATATTAACCCTTTTATAAGGGGCTCGGCTGAGCCCCAAACCCCCCCCCCCCCCCTGAGTACGCTCTTGTGAGAAGGTATGACACTTGATCCCATGCTGAGAAAAAAATAATTAAACCAATAAAATTTTTAATTAGGTCAATTAATAAATTTAATCAGGTGACAGCTAACAGGTTTGATAAGTTTACTTGAACAGTTTAGTTGAATTTATGAAACTAGTTTAACTAAACCAAAATGCAATCGCTCATGAAATGTATTAAACCGTTTACTTAGATTAATTACACCAATTTAGTTAAAATTAATGAACTATTAAAATGAGTTTACCTGCTCCATGTAAATTAATTAATTATTTATAATATTATATAAATTTATTAAATCTCTTCGGATAATACAATATGACGTATAACTGTTCTCTAACAAATATTAGATATCAAAAACGACATCCAACCTTGGTTGCTGGCACAGAACTGCAAATGTTCTCGAATAATTGACTGGGGGTCAATTATGGAAAACGAGGGAGTACCTGGAAGAACTAGAATGAAGTGTTATAATATCTTTGAACAGCTTTTGTCTGTTTTGACATTAATCATTTAATTAATCATTTAATGTTTGTGAATGTACCCTTTTTTGCAAACTGAAATGCTTGCCTTTAAGATGAGACTGATGGAAAACGGCAAGACCTCGCACTTTCTTCTGGGAATGACTCTGGGAGCGACATATAAATGTTAAACAATATAGTTTCCAAGATAGTAGAACCACGCCCACTTATTTTTATCAGCTGTTTTACTCCCTGGGACTTACATGCTCCCTGCTACGGACACTGCGGTTTATATACTCTTTGTGGGGTCGATAAATTTTTCGCTGTGTCAAATTGTTCCTGTGCCATTTGCTTTCGAAGCAATTATTTCAATCAGTGTATTGTGTTACTCAAATCTACCAACAAAACTCAAGCAAAATTAAACGTGATACCTTCGTAGCCAACAATGGACAACTATTTCGTGCTTCTTGGCTACTTATCAGCGATGGTCTCTTGATACGAACGAAAACATCGCAGCTATCCTCTCTATAGCCGAGGTGTGGTCTATCGAAATAAGACAAACCATCCATGGTTGGCACACTATGGATTCTAATATGACAAAGGAGAGCTATAAACAGATATACTTATCTTCTCAGACCTTTTCGTTTATGATGGGAATAATGTTAGGTAGGCGCTGTATTTTACCCACTATTGAGAACTCTGTAACTTTTACTATCCGTATTCGCTTGTCATTATACAATACTAAGTGACATATAAATCCGAACACCCAGTTTAAATGGTTTTATTTTAATAAAATTTTGTATAAGTACTTAATGAAGTATAATAAGTAAATGATAAAAATTTCAAAATGATTGCACTGCTTTAAAGCCCTTTGACCTTTAATAATGTGTGGCTGCACCCTGATGTGCTACGCATTCTCCAACGCGCCTAGGCATGCTTATGATCAGGTGGTCAATGTCCTCCTGTGGTATCTCATTCCAGGCAACCACCAACTCCTCTCGAAGTGCTTCTAGAGTCTGAGGAGGACGTTGCAAATTGAGCAATCTCCTACCCATCATATCCCACAGGTGCTCAATTGGGGATAAGTCAGGAGATCTTGGTGGCCATGGTAACAATGTGACATCATTATGTTGAAAGAAGTCTATTGTGACTCTTGCAATATGTGGTCGGGCATTATCTTGTTGGAAAGTTGGATCTGCCAGGGTGTCAAGATAGGGTAAAAGATGGGGTTCTAGAACTTCGTGGATATAACGCTGCGCGTTCATGTTACCTCTGATGAAGATTAAAGGTGACCTGGAACCATAAGCTATAGCACCCCAAACCATAACTCCAACAATGTGATGAACATGTCTTTCAACAAAAAACTGTGGATTCCTCCTTTCACCACGTCGCCTTCTAACCCTGGTACGACCATCCTGCATGCCTAAACAAAATCGAGACTCGTCACTAAAGACAATACTGTTCCATTCCTGATCCCAGAGTGACCGTTGTCTGCACCACTCAAGGCGATTACGTCGGTGTTCTCGAGTTAAAAGGAGGACCCAGTGTGGCCAGTATGAAAACAAGCCAAAACTTCTCATTCGTCGGTAAACACTTCGCATGCCAATAGGTCTTCCGTGTTCTGTAAACCATTCATTTGCAATGGACCTGGTGGCGGAGAAACGGTCCCTTAAGCCCATTATTCTTAGGCGGCGATCTTCACGGCTGTTGTTCTACGGCGGCGTCCAGTGCCCCTTGCTCTTTGCGCACGGCCTTCTCGAAGCCATGCCTGACAACACCTAACCACAGTGTCTACACTTCTTTGCACTCTAACTGCAATTGCCCGAAAAGAAAGTCCAGCTTCCCGAAGTCCCACTATACGGCCCCTATCAAACTCACTAAGTTGACGAAATCGTACAGGTCTGCGTACTCTAGGCATCGTAACCGATCGTAAAGGATGTCAAGAACCAAAATCCGCCAACGTTGATTCTTTACTGCGGCTGAAATATTCATTTTTAGAGCGTTAGTGAATTAAAAAAAAGCAGTATAAAAACCGGAATGTCCAATTGATAAGGCTGAAAATTTTTTCACTTGTTATTTACAGTAAGATAAATACATTCACCAACTTTTATTAAAATAAAACCATTTGAACTGGGTGTTCGGATTTATATGTCACTTAGTATAATTTAAACTCACAATAATATATTACCAACGAATTCGAGTAGATTATAAGAATTGCATTTGTATGTCGCCAAAATTGTGTAGTTTCAGTTCATACTTTTTTGGCTAATTTGACTACCATTGCCTACCAATACGACGTACACTTTTTAGCAGATAGAGCAAAGCAAAAATACTGTTTGTGTTGCGATGTGAGTAGCTCAATTATTCCAAATAAACAGAGATATATAAATTTAAGAGTTTTGTAAGACATTGTAGCTATCTCGCATACGACAATGACCATTCGACATGCGACGTTGCCAAGCAAACCAACGATGAAATGTTGCAGAACTTGTGGCGATCCTGACCTTTCAATTCGACCTAAAATTGAGCGCTGAATCAATCCTAAACAGATTCGATACAATTCACAATTCAAAAATAACCATTATTTGGGCGTAGAGGATAAACTAACGCATATTTTTAACATGCGTGCATCTTAATTCAAGGAAGTGGTGTAACATATAACATTAAACCCAAGCCGTCAGATAAATTTTTCTCTCAGTGTATAAAATTTCTCGCAATCACGGATTGAGTAGAATTGTTCATGCCGTTAATAAATATTAACTTTCGTTTTTCTGTCTTATTTAATGAATCCTTGTTTATTAACTACAACTGAACGATTCCAGTCTCAACTCAGACAGTATTTCTGCTATGCTAAACGTGTACACCCAGTACCACTGGCTACTCTCCAGAGGAAAAAATGTACGTCGATGTATTGGTTTGTCGCTTTGGTAATGTTTGATCGTTTATTTTTAAACCATTTTTATAAACATGTTGCAGGTTCTAGAATTCATGGGTGTCGGCGACCTCTTCCAGAACAGCTCAGACTTCTCATACCTGAGCGAGCAACACGTCTCTGTTGATAAATCTTTGCACAAAGCGAAAATAGAAGTGAACGAAGAAGGCACTGAAGCTGCAGCTGCGACTGTGTTGTTCACTTTCAGGTCCAGTAGGCCTTCTGAGCCTGCGCAGTTCATTTGCAACCATCCTTTCATCTACCTCATCTACGACAAATTTCAAAGTGCTGTGCTTTTCGCTGGAGTGTTTCGAAAACCTAATTGATTCACTAGGAGCACAGTGATGACGTACCTATCCAGTTTTGTAAAAAAAGGCATAGTGTTAATTGCCTCTTATCTATAGGGTGCGACAAAACTCAATGGCTGATTGTTCAGACAATTTTAATGCTATTCATTTTTAGACTATTTTAGGACTCTAACTGCAGAACTCATATTCTTCCTTCTTGATAAAAAATGATAGCATAATTCTACAAAAAACAAGGGTTGAACAATTAGTTTGTTTCCAAAACTGGGATTTTTCCTAACATTTCCTAAAGCGCCCAATTCATTTCATTTCATTGGGTCTTTTAAGAAAGATCATTGATAAAGATCACAAAACTCATATTTTCGTTTTTGTAACCATTAAATTTACGTACTTGGTGACAATTACTTTCAAGCGGTTTCTAACCATCAAATAAGTTGGCCAAATGACGTGTCAAAAAAGTATCGCATAATTGTGAACGCCAATCAGAATTTGTTTCCTATTTCTGAAAATCGATGTCAGAACAGACCTGTATGATGATAAAACGTCACTTTATATTCAGTATAATATATAATTCAGCATTTGTTGTGTTTTGGTTTTCATTTTTCATCGCTCAGGATTAAGAATGAACAGCACAGTTTCAGAGCAAATGTGTGATTTTTTCAATAGTATTTATTAGATTACGTAATTGGTTAATGTAATTGTGTTGTTAGACTATAGTATGGTATGTGTATATTTATATATTGTGTAAAGAGATATTAAAAAAAAATGTTTTTCTTTTTTTTATACTTGAACCACCACGAAGGCCTAAGGCCTTAAACACCCATGGATTTCGTGGGGCTATAGGGGGATACAGGGGAAAGGGGGAAACTCTAGCTGGGGAACACGTGTGCATGCAATATGCACAAATTCTGGCCCCGCCTTAGATATCCGTCGGGTGGTACCTCCATAGCCAATCGAAACATTCTCCTGGGACGGGATTCGAATCCTCGCAGCGCACGGTGACCGATAACGTCTGAAGATAATAATATGTGAATTATTATGAAGGAAACAATTATAGTAACCTGTAAAATACTGACCTTATGTAACTTGAGTAAAAACGTTACTGCTCAGTTGCTGCACAAGTGATCTATTTAGTTTTTGAAATATACTGGGTGATTTATTCATATTCAGATACAGGTTGTTGTAGTTATAAGTTTAGAACCATGAAAAAGTCATACCTATCTTTGAAGTGGAAAAAGCTTTCCTCTTAAAATTTTGTTCAAGGTGTACTAACATGATGATAAGAAAAGCGGCTCCAACCGTACCAGTGGGGTAGAAACTGGGATATTTTGATGCCTACACGAGGGAATAGAAAAACATTGTCTACACCAGTTGTTTTTCTGAAGCATTTACTTTGAAAAATAAACTGGTTAGCGAAGTTTCACATCAAAAATTTTAAGTCGTATACTAGGGATTACTACCCCATCTCACCGTTGCATAATTTGGTGAATATCTTCACAATCAATGAGTCTCAACAGCGGTATAGCAGTTCTCAACACCCCGTATCTTGGTGATGTGGCATTTTCAGACCCATATCTATTCCTATGTACTTTCTGCTTAAAAAACATTACCATTATTTTATACAGGGTGTTTTAGCACTATGGGATCAAACTTGTACGGGTTATTCAGTGTAACAGTAGAAAACATTTAAGTATAGGGAGCCATATCTGGCCCTTGTGTGTTGTTATCTTTAAAAACGATAACAGATATTGTTTTTTGTAGCCTTAGTCGTGCTGTCGTATTTGTGAAGTTTGGAAGAATTTAACAAAAATTAATTGTTGCTAATGGAAAACTTTACCAATCAAGAATTGGCGGATATGCATTTGGCATACGGAGCAACAAACTGCAATGCACGAGCAGCAGCGCGGTTGTATCAAGAACGTTATCCCGAACGACAGCGTCCGGGATACAAAAAGTTTATTGCTATTCATCGGCGGCTCTCCGAGACAGTCATGTTTAAAACCAAAATGCATGATAAGGATGTTGCTCGAACCGTAAGAACGGTCGAATTTGAAGAAGAGGTCCTTCAGCGAGTAGCCGACGAACCATCAAGTAGCACACGTTACTTTGCTGAGGACATGAATACGAGTAACGCTTCCGCCTGGCGGGTGCTACATGAGCAACAACTTTATCCTTACCACTTCCAGAAAGTTCAAGGATTGACTGTAGCCGATTATCATACTAGAGTTCAATTTTGTCAATGGCTTCTTCATCAAATCGCTGCACAACCAAATTTTTTACGCTATGTTTTATGGACCGATGAAGCTTCTTTCACAAGTGACGGTATTTTTAATAGTAGGAATAGCTACGTTTGGGACAAAGAAAATCCCTTTGCCATTTTGCCTAGAAAACATCAGCAACGTTGGTCTGTCAACGTATGCGCAGGAATTGTACTAGGTTACCCTGTATATGTAGGTATGGAAACTGAGTAGGCACCTCTCACGGTTCGATATCATTGCTACTAGGTGTATTGTAGTGTGGTTGAGTGCCCTGCGGTTGGGAAACATTTTTATGCGCGAATAATACCTTAATGGAATACCTGTACGTTGCATGGGTCCATGCGAAAAATCAAACGCAACTGGTTGCACGTGTTGCAAAAGGACAACTTCATTGTTACATTCGATTGGAGCTAGATTCAGCTTGCGACGCTCACATTTCTGTCTACAACATATGCCCGACACCTTTGTGCGGATAAAATGTTGCAGATATCAATGTGAATTTGCAGGACATACGTTGCGCAATATGTGCCAAATGTTTTGGCGTCAGCAACATGTTGCAGCACAATTGCCGGGATAGGCGAGTTTCCATTATAATAAGTTGCCAGGAATGGTTACGTAATGTGCGTCTTAGAAGTGTAGACATTTCGTAGAAACGGACAAAATGTTTTTTTTTGTAATTCAAAATATTTATCAACTTTATAAGATTTCCCGAAAATATGGTAAAAAATGGCATCAAGTAGATTGACGTTATACTGCATATGCCTTCGGAGGTTTCAAAGAAAAGGGATGAGTCAAACCGGTTCAAAAGGCGAAGTCGAATCGTGATTAGGTAGGTTCACTTAGTTACGATGAATCTTCGACCTCATCATATCAAACTATACAGGGTGCCCCGAAAAAGGTGTGCAATACCCTACCAGCGATTTCTAGAGCTTAAAATAGGAAGAAAAGTTTATATAAACATAGGTCGGCAAACGTCCCCTAAGTTCGCTACGGTCTTTTAAAGGGGCTCCCTTGAAGATGGTTTTTCCTTAATATTTCCGAAACGTGTTGAGATAAAGACATAAAATTTGGTATTCTAGCCTAGTTTTTTATGCTGGTTTTGTTTGGAAGCGTATGTAACAGGAACGGACTCAGGCTATTTTAGCCCCAACATTTTTGTGTGATTCTATTTTGAAATTCAATTTTAGAATTTGAAAATCTAGGGTTTTCTACATAAAAAAGGTACTCCTATTGAATATCCGATAAATTATGCCATTTTCGAATAAAATCAAACTAAAAAAATTTTCACATGATAGGAAATGTACTGCGAATTTAAATGAATTGTTGAATAATTAGCCATGACATCGAAAAAACTAATTTAATAATTGGTAAATATTACATAAATACATATTTATATTGCAACATAGCTAATATTTAGGCAAAAACAAAAGAAATACATTTTTTCTACGAACGGAATTGAAATTTGTTTAAAAAAGAAAACATACAGTTGGATATACTTATGACTAGTTTTGCAATAAGTGTTCAAATAAATTCCCATTTTGTTGGATACAGAGTCTCGTTCGACGAACTAATGATTGCGTAGCCCGAAAAGTGGAAAACCTTTTTCTTCTTAGTTCATTTGCAGCCTGATGAATGCTTTGAAGTAAATCTGCTTGAGTATTTACTTCAGTCGAGTAAACTAGGTCTTTTAATGACCCCCAAAAATAGAAATCCAATGGATTTAGGTCAAGTGAACGTGGCGGCCACGTTATAGGACCTCCTCGGCCTAACCACCTGCCTGGAAAATTGACATTCAACCAATTTCGAACATTGATGTGCAGGGGCGCCATCATGTTGAAAAAACATATTTTCTTGAAACTGCTGGCGCACATCCAATGGTATTATATCCATGAGCTCATTCTGAAGAAAGTTCAGATACACCTCCGAATTAAGACGATTGGGAAGCACAATAGGCCCATTCACTTGGTCCCCAATTACTCCTGCCCATAAGTTCAATGAAAATCTATGTTGGAAATTTGTACGGCGAACAACTTTTGGATTTTTATCTCACCAGTGATGCGTGTTATGGAAATTAAAAGCACCATTACTAGTAAATATTCACTCATCTGATCATAATATCCACTGGCAAAACTCGATTCGTGGTAAAAAATCTGCATCCGTTACATGCTGCACCGGTTTAAAATGATAAGGATGTAATCCTTGCATTCTTGTCATTCTTCCTATCTAAAATTATTATTTTTAGGATAACTATCAAATAGATATTCATACATTTTTCTTACTATTGATCGAGGTATATCCATAATTTCTGAAACATTTCGTTTGCTTATTTGCGGATTATTTTCTAACATATTTAAAGCAATATCCATACGATGATTTCCCAGTGGCCTTCCTGAGCCCTGCATGCGCTGAAGACTTCCATGGTTTGACAAATTCCGGTGAGTATCAGTAAACATTCGACGTCCAGGTACTATGCGATTGGGAAATCTTCTTTGATATTCTCTTACGGCTGCCAATGAACTTCCATTGCAAAATGCATGTCAGTCAGTTCTCTGTCTTTAAATCTTGTCATTTTAAATCGATTTAATAAAAATTTTGATTTTGATCTAGTAATTTTACACTGCTAACAATGTCAGCTTAACGTCAAAATAAGTCATAACAATCCAAAACAACTTTTGTTTGTTGGTTGCGTTTGGTATCATATAGAGTGAAGTTGTGAACAATAATTAACTTTTTGTTTCATAATAAAGTGCACAGCTGTTAGGTTTTGAAGAGAGCAAGACCAATTCGTGGTCCATTGTACAAACTTCATTTGGTGACTATCTATCGTCTTTGCATTTCTTGTTTCACTTTTCGATGTAATGTGTTCATTGTACTTATCTTTTGCAAAATTGCCCGTCTCAAAAATAACCGGTCTTTATCAATAGCCGCCAATCCCTAGCAGCTAAGCAATACCATATCGTTAATTTGTATGGGTTGCTGAAGAAGTAGAAGAAACGAGTAGCAAACTTTTCGTCAAAAGGAGATTCATATTTCTTATTGTTTTGCCATTTAAGCGTCTTTTTAAATATTTTGCATCGTCTAAAAATGCAAAACGTACATTCCCTAAAATGGAATATCCTGTATATTGTTAAGGATTTGGTTTATCCTTTCCATAAGCGTCATTTTGGTATAATTTTTCTCGGAACAAATCGTGGTATGTTTCTAAATTTTTGATTTATTTGCAATTTCCCAGAAATTACTATATAAACAAATACCGCATCATTCGTGGAAAAGGAGGATCTTTAGTAGGTGGGAGGTGATTTCTATGAAACCTTGTACCCACCTTGATTATCTCAAAATCACCAACGGTAAATGTTTTATACGCTAAGAAATATAAGCCTGTACGTTTTTTTTTTGACTTCCTATAAGTTTGTTTTGACGAATTTCGTGACCGGGAATGTTAACTCATATGGCGTTGTTTATGAGAATATACAAAGTTAGCAATCAATGCACAAAAAACAATTCTGGA